AAAATTTATTGTCATTGTAAGTATATACACAGTATACCCATACAACGAAATTCACAGACACCCAGAGGCCAGACACATGCACACACATAAAATTCCCCAAACACTCCCCACCCACTAAAAGTCCCCCACTAAAAATACAAACATGTACACCTCAGGCCAAGTAACACAGTCCAACTAATTATTCACTACTGGTGGTCTTTAAGCTCATTATTAATTGCAATTATAGCTCTGGGATAAAAACTATTTAGAAAACGTGTGGTCCAAGTCTTAATTGTTCTATATCTTCTGCCAGACGGTAACAGTTCAAAAAAAATTATAAGCATATGTGGAGTGCTTGGACCCATATATTTCATAGGTGCAAAGGACTAGAGTGTGATGGGACTGAAGCCTTATAAACTTCTCATAAGCTGCAAAGGCAAATAGATAGACAGAGGTACTTGTTTATTCACATCATGGAGAAGAAGATCTATATAAGTACAAAGGACCATGAGGCACAGAGAGAGAGAGACACAGGCACAGACACACTACTACTACTACTACTACTACTACTAGAGAGAGACACAGGCACAGACACACTACTACTACTACTACTACTACTACTACTACTACTACTACTACTACTACTACTACTACTACTGGGCCCAAGAAATTAGATAACAGGTTAATGCATTTTTCACAAACTACCTTGATGAAAACAAGAAATGTAGCAAAAAAAATTTCAAACCCTTTCTGATACTGAGTCCTTCTGAATTCAGTGGCATGTATTTATGCATAGGTGTATAAAGAATTGCAATGTTTAGATATATTTGTACTGTTTTATTTTTTTTATTTATTTAGCTTGTATACTGCTTTCCTTTCATGTCAGAGTACTCCTCTGTGTGATTTACAATAGATAAAACATCAGACAGAGATAATAATGAAACACTAAAGATAGTAAGAACAAATTAGCAAGTAACTATAAAATAACTACAAAAACAGATGGGACCAATCCATAACATACAGAAAAAAGCAGACAAAATGGGTGGTCAGTTAGGATTGGTGTGGAAAACCTCCCTGAAGAGCAACATCTTCAGTCCCCTCCTGAATATCCATGGGGGGGGGGGAGCCAGGCGAAGCTCCTCTGGAAGCCAGTTCCATAAGGTATACCATGAAGAAGGCCCTACCTCTTGTAGAAGACTTACGGGTCTCCCTCATGCTAGTTACCCAGAGGAGCCTCACCTGTGATGTTCTAATGGGTTGGGCGAATGACATTGAGGAAGGACTCTCTGACAAGTAACGTGGGCCCAAATTCTGGAGAACTTCCTATGTGAGTGTTAGAACCGAACCTGATCCAGGACACAGTGGATGATCAGTGAAGGCGAGTCAGAACCTGAATGATACAATCAAATTTGCTCACGACAACAGCCGGTCTAGCTGCCACATTCTGGACTCGCTGTAATTCTCCAGATTAGACGCAAGGAATGCCCCATGCAGAGGGCATTCCAGTAGTTCATCCAGGAGATGACCAAGGCCTGCACCAAGAGTCTGAGGGAGTCCTCATATAGGAAGGGTGGAGTTGGGTGACAAGCCTGAGTTGGTTGAAGGCTGATTTGGACACAGCTGCAGTCTGGGATTCTCAAGAAAGATCTGGGTCCAGAAGAACACCCAGATTATGAACATGGTTCCTAAGAGGAAGGGAATGCCATCCAGCCTAGGGGCAACCCCCCAAACACCTTTGAGAGGCCCCTCACCAGAGCAAAATCTCTGTCATGTCCAGATTCTGTTTAAGCCTGTTAACCCTAGTCCATTCCAGTAATGAAACCAGACAGTGCTCAAGCATCTGGATAGCATCCACTCTAGAGGTGGTGATGGAGAAATAGAGTTGTGTGTCATCAGTGTACTGATGACACCTTACTCCAGAATTCCTGATGACCTCCCTGATGGTCAGAACTGGTCAGGTCACAAACATCTGGAATAATTCTGCCTGTTGTTTCGTGGCCTCACCAGTAATCCAAATGTTAAAAGACTTTTTGCCCTTTTCAGGGTGTTGGCATATTTATTGGTCATAATCTTAATTGCAGCCCTGTTGTGAGCTGACTGATCTCTTCTCCACCTGCTCTCTAACCAAGTCCGAGATAACTTCATAGCTTACAGCCCCTCAATATACCAAGGGGCAGAGCGAGCTCTGGAGTGGAGAGGGCATTTGGGAACGATTTTGTCACCTGCCGGGTCATCTACAAATGCCATATGTTGACCTGAGCTTTAACAGTCTTTTTGAAAAGTGTTAAACAACCTTGTATCCATTTTAAAAAAATACGATGCCCCTGAAAATGCATGTAAGACCATGGTTTGAATATTGCTGTAAGAACAGCATTGTATCAAAATTCCATTTAGTGCAGTATCTACTTTCCCAAACTAGCCAAACAAATGCTTCCGGAATAAGGTGGTATAGATCCTGAAGGTCTACATACTGTATATTCACCAGACTTTCCCAAAATCATGTCTGAATTATGCCTCGTTCCATTGCTTGCTTGCTTGCTTGTTTACCACAAGTGTATCCCCCTTTTTTGCACATTTTCCTCACATGTGCAAATTTTTTGAATTGTGCACATTGCTTGAATGCACTTCCTTCCATTGACTCAAGAATATTTCAGCACTGTTTAGTACACATTTGAAATGTCCATGTTTTCCTGTGCATCGGTACTTTCCAAATATGGAACTTACATTTTTCTCTTTTCACCTTTTTTGCACATTTTCCTCACATGTGCAAAATTCTTGAACATTTTTGAATTGTGCGCTTTCTTCCATTGACTCAAGAATATTTCAGCACCGTTTAGTACACATTTGAAATGTCCATATTTTTCTGTGCATAGGTACTTTCCAAATATGGAACTTTCATTTTTCTCTTTTCACTCATTCACTCATCTGCTGCTATCTGTCAAGGTTTATCCAGAATGTGAATTTCCTCTGTCCTGTCAGAGCTGAATGGGGCAAAGGCCACATAGCCATGGCCTAAGGACAACAACCATGCCCTACTACTGCTCCCAATAACTGGTATTTAGTACTATCCTGTAACTGAATGTGGAGTTTCCTCCAAGCTTTCCTGAATCCTGCCATGCATGAATTTTTCTGGTTCCCCTTTAAGGACAGCTAAGTTTGTGGCCATGACCCAAAACTGTAGGAAGTGCATTCCATACATTGATTACGTTTATGAAAGTACACATGTTTTTGTCTGCCCTGATTTTAGAGGAAATGGGTTTCATTGGGATGTGTAATGATATAACCATCTCAGGTGCTGGAAATGTGATATAGAAATGTCTGAAGATGCCAAGTTAATCCTTCTCTTCTCCTTATCCTACATTCTCTCCCATCAGGTGGAATGGCTGAAGAATGAGGAATCCATTGACACTGAGGGAGATGAGAATATTGACACGAGGGCTGATCACAATCTGATCATCCGTCAAGCCCGCCTATCTGATTCTGGAAACTACACCTGTGTGGCAGCCAACATTGTTGCAAAGAGAAGAAGTCTGTCAGCTACAGTTGTGGTGTACGGTCAGTTGGTGTGAAATGCTCAAATTTCTTGGCCTGGAAGTGTTAACTTATTTTCATTGATACCTTTAACAGATTCATTTATTTTTACATAGGCAAGTTTTAAAATAGAGATTTGAGCCAAAGGTGGAAGAAAGACTATGTCATTGGTCCTTTCCTGTTGTATCTTTATCAACTCTGTACAGAGATGACAGGTGTGCAATTCTGGTCCGTGGGGAATAGATCAACAATATATTTTCATATACACATAACTGATGTGTGTGCTAATAGAAGAGATAGGAGGATGATTACATATGGAAGATGATGACTTAGATATTTTACAACTCTTTTCAATCAGATTTATAAACAGGAATTATTTTTTAAATTTGACTGAGATGGACCTTTATTACATTATCTAAGAAGCTTGAAATGATGAGGGAATGGTAAAACTTAATAAGTTATTTGCTTCAGATCTGAGGTAAAATGTGAACAGAATTCATAAAAAGAGAGAAGGAGCTGTTTGGATCCAGATAAGCACTATTCTGCCTATGTGTATTTAGGGAAAAATACCAAGACGTGGGCATGGATAGGTATGCCTGCTTTATTGACTGCAGCATAGCTTTTAACAAACTTCAGTGTGTCAAAGTGATGAAACTGTTGGCAAATAAAGGTCTTGACTCCAGAAATATTTGAATAATTGACAACCTGTTCTAGCAGTAAGCAGCTGTGGTGGAAGTTTAAGATCCAATGAGACATGACACAGAGATGTGAAAAGGAGTATGTCAATGCTATATACTGTCATTGCTAGTCTTCAGTTTGTGCTCCAAATACATCTTTAGGAAAGTACTTGTTGATTCAAGTGACAGCAACATTGTCAACGGAGAACAATTGGCTATCAACAACATCTGAAGTGTAAATGATACCTTACTACTAGCTGACAGTTTAGATTAGGGATATGTACAGCATTCAAGCAAAAGTGACAAAAAAGACTGATTTATGTATTTGTACAGACTTGGGGTGATGATACGAATAACCTGATTGCCCCAGGATGGAGTGGCAGTGTTCATGAATTGCCCATGTTCAGTCTAGCATTGGGCTTAGAAAATGACAAATGAAAAAAAGCTTTCCATTATTACAAATAAAGGAAAATTGATGGCACAGAGGAGGCATCAAAGCAGGGAGGGATTGACAACTGAACTCCCAGCAAAGCCCAAGAACTCACTGGCACACTTCAGCTGTTGAAGTGTTGGGGAAACTCTGTCAGTCATGCCAACAGTTTTTATATATTTGTCTGTTGTTGCTCTCCAAGGTACGTAGCTGCTGGTCAAAATGTGAAATTTTCTCGGTGGTAGAGATTAATTTTTGTATTCTGGATTTTTTTTCTTCTTCAGATCATTTTCTCTCTGATTTGCACTACTAGTGTGTCTGTGTGCATGGACGGGTCTCTTCTAGACCCAAGGCGAGTGAGGGAGGGGAACACTAGATCCAAGTTTGGGGAGGGGGTCTATCACTGAGAAGAAACACCTGCAGAGTGGCAAAGAGGAGGAAGACTCCCTACAGCTGGGGACTATAAAGAAGGACTTAGAGAAGGTATTGGGGGCAGTCAGTGGAAAGGAGGATGAGGGCCACGTGTAGGCAATAGTTGGTAACTTATCAGATCTAGAGGAGGAAAGAACCTGGGCAATGCCCAGGAGGAAGTGTAAGAGTCCGGTAGTGAGGAGGAAGTCCTGGGCTTCGCAGAGAGATTGGACGACGTTTACCACAAGGACCCCTGAATGGGAGTTCTTGTGGAACGTCTGTATGCCAAAAGCAAGGCACTACACCATGGGCTCCTAGAACGCTCCCCACTGGCCTTGAAAAAACTGATGGCTGAGGAGAGAGCAAATGAGGCTCCAGCAGCATGATTGCCCTTTTTTGACCCTGACCAATGTCCACCCCAAGGGTGGGCTAACCTCACCCCTCCCTTAATTAAGCTGTGGGAAGGGCTCCTTTACTTCCTGGGCAGGGGAAGAGGTTTCTGGTGCCCAGTTGATGGTCTTTCAGAAGTCACGAGTAGCAATCTTAGGGGCTACTGTATTTGATCAGTAGGTACTGTATTTGTCCTGTGTATAAGACGTCCCTATATAAGACGCCCTCCCACTTTTCTAACCCAAAATTAAGAAATCAATATTTTAAACAGAAAACAGAACACATTTTAATTTAATAATTAGGTAACATTTACATACCAGTACTCTCATATAGGGATGTGGTGGCGCTGTGGGTTAAACCGAAGAACTCTCTGTGCTGCAAGATCAGAAGAACAGCAGTAGTAAGTTTGAAACCACGTGACCGAGTGAGCTCCCGTCGCTTGTCCCAGCTCCTGCCAACCTACCAATTTGAAAGCATGTAAATGCGAGTAGATAAATAGGTACCACCACGGTGGGAAGGTAACAGCGTTCCATGTCTAGTCATGCTGGCTACGTGACCACGGAAACTGTCTATGGATAAAACGCTGGCTCTATGGCTTGGAGATGGGGATTAGCACTGCGCCCTAGAGTCAGACATGACTGGACTAAATGTCAAGGGGAACCTTTACCTTTACTGTCATATTATGGCTCACACTTAGCTTTGAACATATCACTTTATTCAGCCTCTGACATTGCCAGTCCCTGTTGCACTGCCTAGATGCTCCACCTCCAACGAGGTGTGTTCCAATTGATTTTTTCAACTAAGTCTTGTGATGGAAGCTAAGCCTCATGATTGGAGGCAGCTAAGCCTTGTGATTGAAGTAAGCCTGTTTGCAGAGGCAAAGTATGGACAGTTTCCCAATTGTGCAGTTCTCTCCTCAGCTTACTTCCGTATATAGGATGACCTTCAATTTTTAGTCTAAAGATTTTAGACAAAAGTATCATTTTATACCTACTGATAAGACTCTAGCCCACATCTTGCAATAGTTTTATTGGCTAAGAAAGTGGAGCGGTATTGTTTACCATGCCCAGAATGTCAGAGAATGCAAGCAGGACTTCAGCCTAGAAGGCCCAAGTCCTCATGCTGCTGGTGGACCAACCTTTTGAAAGAATTGGGCCTGATATAGAGGACCAGTAGATACGTCAGCAGGAACATACCCTCATATTACACTATGTCACTTATTACCCAGAAGCTATCCCTTTGTGGTCCACCTCAGTAAAGAGGCCAGCCTGGGAGTTGGTGACTCTGTTCTCCTGCATAGGGTTCACACCGAACAAGACATTAACTTCAACAGATGTGAGCTGTCCCAGTTATTTGGCCATGAAGGACCAGTGGGTTAATTGAAAGGTTCCATTGCACCTTGAAAGATGCACTGAGAAAGTTGGTGCATGAGAAGCCGCGCACATCCAGTTAGCACCACCAGTTTTTGCTGTTATGGAGGCCAAGAATGGGGGCAGTGGGGCTCACATTCCTCTTCCACCCTCTTAACATTGTCAGCAAGGCAAGTGTTAAATTTGTTGGACCTTGCATTCTTGGCTGGCTTGGATTTTCAACTCATATCAGAGTAGCTGAAGCCTCTCCCTAGTACTAAATCTCTTCTCTTTAAGTATTTTAGTAGTCTGACCTCGAAGAGTGTTTTTGAAATTATTCAGTCACGTTAGAAGTCACCTAGGAGACCACTGCAAGAATGTTACTGTTGATTCTCTGATTTTTTACAAACATACTCGATTTTCACTTTCTCCTATTTCTCCCTCTTATACCTTCCATCAGCAAGTGGTTGGATTAGAGCTTCGAGGTTCCTTCCAGCACTGCATTTCTAATGATTGTCATTTATTTTCATGTAGTTTTCTATTGATTTTAACAGCAGAACCTGTAGTTTTTCTGTTTCCTATAACTTTCATGTGTTCTGTCTTGCTCATGTGATAACTTCAGACATTCGTCCACTTTTTAAAGAAACCAATAGACCAGATTTCAGAAAAAAAGGGACCCTTTTTTATTGGCAGTTAAATATGTCATACAAACATGGCCTGAAATTCATGTGTGTGTGTTTTTTAAAAAATGACAAGTGAGTTAAAAAGAAGAGTGTGAAATCCCTGAGCTCAATACAATCAATTAGAGAGTGCACCAAGTTCAAAGAGCCTTGTGTATTACTTTGGGTTGTTGCTAGTCAAGTCCAGTCCACCCTTTTATTTATTTATTTATTTATTTGTTTGTTTGTTTGTTTGTTTGTTTGTTTTGTTTTGTTTTGTTTTGTTTTGTTTATTTATTTATTTATTTATTTATTTATTTATTTATTTATTCATTCATTCATTCATTCATTCATTCATTCATTCATTCATTTATATGCCACCCGCACTACCCAAAGATCTCTGGGCAGCTTACAACAATTAAAATACAAAAAAAAATTACGATTAAAATATATACTCTAAAATGTTGGTCTTATGGGGATGCTCATTTCATAGGATGAATGTTATTTACGATTTTAACAGTTAATTTAAAGCAAAGAGTCCCAAGATGGCAAGACTAAAAGAAGAAAAATAAGAATGACTTTTGAGAACTCATCCTGATTTTGTGGCAAGCACCTTTCCTCAACACCGCCTTAGTGATTAAGGGTGCACCTACATTTTGCTGCTATTTGATTCTCAGCTATTTATTTGAAATAGCAGTCAGTACTCACATAGGGGCTACAGATTGATTTGGAAGTTCACAGTTCATTCTGGATACAATGTGAGTTATGTTTCAACACGCACACACACCCTCTTCTGTTCCTTCTTTCTCTGGACCTCACCCACTGTTCCTTTTATGGTTTACTGTTAAGCTGCTTTCTCATTTAAATTTTCAGATTACATTTCTCAAAGCATTTCTGTAGAAAAATAAAATGGAAAGGTACTTAACAGTGAAGGAGCACAGAGGAGCAAAAGTTTGAACAATGATTTTGCAAAAGACACCATTAAGTCACACATCAGAATGATTCCATAATAGGGATCCCCACCTTCTCCTTCTCTTCTGTTACTCTTTTCCCTTACTTTCAAATAACACTTGCAGGAATCACCTCCTCTCTATTTTTAACTGACATGAAAAAAAGTTCACAAGCAGACCTGACAATTAGGTAATTAACAGCACTAAGCAACAAACAGGCCTTCCCATGCTATATGAAACTTACTGTGTTTGACAGGATTCAGGACGGGCACCTGATTTCTAACATTACAATCATGGTGCTTTGTTTTTGTTTGTCCCCTTGGACCTGAACATTACACCCCAACTGCTTAAATCACCAAAACACCTACAGTCTCACACCCATCTTTACAAAAATGTATCACAACCAAATGCATGGGGAAAGCCCATTCAAATCATTTTACCTTGAAAAAGTAGAAGCCACACCTCACCCCCAAAGCAGCTCCCACTCTGAGACCAAAAAGGGCTGGACTAATTTGAATCAGCCTTTGCATCATGCGGTCAGTAAAAAATACTTCAGGTTAATCCATTTTACACGCAGAGCAAATCCCGCAGTATGACCATGTAGTCACACTCTTAGTTATTGGTTTCTCCAGGACTGAGTAATACACAGCAGGGTTGGGGAGAGGTTATTTAGAAATCTAATTACTTACACTTATACATAGTTCTAACATTGTCCACATTAGTCATGTTAAAGGAGACAAGACAACAAGCTCCTCCTTTCGTGATGTTTAAAGTGATAACGTACATCAGATTGTCTTTACAGGAGAATTTCTCACCTATGTATTTTGCAACTTAGTTTGCTTTGGTGATTGCTTATTGGATAGAAAACCCAAGGCTTCATTTATAACTACAATTGTTCAGAGGAAATCACATCAGTAGAGGAGAATGATATGAGCTCAGAGTGTTGAGTAGGTTGGTTGTTAACTATCATTCCAGTTTTGATTTTTTTAAAGACCTCGATTTTTTTAAAGTGTCCACAAATGTAATTTTCATAGTTACTTTTTTTGGGGGGGGGGTTGAGAATGTTATGAATCTCCCACTTGTGATAGAAAACGCACTCTCTTCTTGTCCACCTTGTCATTATCTCAGACCCATAGCAAGAACAAGACAGCTGCAAGAGGCATACATAGCATGCATGTAACACTCCTCCTTCCTCCTTTAATCTGGCAACACTTTGCTACTGTAAGCGTTATGCATGATTGATACATTTACACTACAAAAAATTCCCCTAAGGGTTCATTAGCTTTCATTACTTTGGAATTGTAATGTAACTTAGTTACACCTTCATTACTGGAAACAAGAATTAAAAAGAATCTAAAATCTGGTGTTGAGGTCCGTAATTGATCTGGGGGCAAGGGAACTTGGAGCAGGGACACTTCATCTATTGATTAGCTGAGTAAATAAACTCCTTCCTCCAACAGTAAAATGCTTGTTTGTGAAAGATGAATAACTGAAATATTATTTTAACTGTTCTAAAAATATCACTTTGATGAAGATATTACAATGTACATTTTAATCAGTGAATAGAATAAACAGTTAAGAGCAGCAGCATTAATTGGCTTTTAAAACCTGTTGATTGGCAGTCCTAGTATTCCTCCTTGATAATTTAACACCCATTATGCCAAACAGCGATTAAAAACCGACAAGCTTCACCAAAAATTATTAAATTGTAGCTAGGCAACAGTGGGTGAAGCAGACAATTAGAAATAGCTAACCATTCCCAGGAGTCAACAACTGACAGAAATAAAACTTGTGTTCAGTTTTGTAAAAACATGCCACTGATACTAAATGCTGCTATTATCGCTACCAAAACTTATTAATGTATTTATGCACACCAACAGTGTGTTGCGGAGGCTGATGTCACACTGCCTCTACTTATATAATTTCTGGTGTTTCAGTGTTCCAAAATCCATGCCATGATAATGTCTTTGTTTTTCTCAGTATGTGCCAATCAAATCACTTCCAATTTAGGATTGCCCTATGAATTAGTGACCTCCAGGGGATACTATCAGCAACAACCCTACTCAGCTTTTTTAAGGCTATGGCTTCTTTTGCTGAATCAGGTCATCTCATTCATATTCAGACTTCCCCCTTTCCTGCTCCCTTCAAATCTTCCCAGCATTATTGCCTTTTCCTAATTAGTTGTGCCTTCTCATTGCCATTGAGAGAAATGGGGATGACTTTATGTTAAAGTCAGTAAATCTGCATGTATTTTTGCACCTGTTTTGGAAGGAAGCAGTTCCTGACTCTCAAATAGGTTTCACTGGGTATTAGGTTTCACCTTATACAGCCCCTAGGCTTGCTGGGGACAAGGAAACAATAAAAAGCAATAAATCTTCTCCATAGTCAAAATACAAGCAACCATTTGAAACCCCAAATGGTCCCTATTTGGAGGGCTTCTAGTTTTGGGTCATGCACTGCTCTGAATCAAAAAAAGATAGATATTGGCCAAAAGACAATCTGACATTTCATTTTGGTTCTGTGTGTTTGCTCTTCCTCATTTGTGTGAAACAGCGTTCCAGTTAGGGGATAGAAAATCAGTTATTCTCCAGTTGTGTGATATTATGATCCCCGTCATTCCTACTGGGTGGGACAGACTGTAGCTGGAGTAAAGCCTTATCTACAGGATCACTGAATACCCAGCCCTGTCTTAAATGGTTGGCCAAAGAATCTTGCCTGGCACATCTATCGCTTATTCTCTGTAGAAAAGCTTGTTGATCACATGTAGACTCTAAGGGAAAAGTGCCATTACATAGCTTTTCAAACATCCTAACCTGAACTGCAAAGGCAATTTTCTGGCCCTTATTGCTTCCTTCCTCCTCATTAAAGTACAGAATGGCATTTTATTGATTAGGTCAGAAGTATAACCAGACAACTCCTCTTCATCTTTTTTTTGCCTTTAAAAGATTGTGTTTGGGAAGAATTATGGTGGTTTTGTACCCTTGGTTTCTAATAGCTTACTGTCATTTGCAGCACCTCCTGCCTTATAAATCTGTGTTGAACAAACATGCCCATTCAAGCCCTGTTTGTAATTGCATCTCAGTGTTCTTTATACAGTTGTATCTGTGACTGCCGGGAGGCAGTGGAAGATAGGAAGGCCTGGCGTACTCTGGTCCATGGAAGAGTTGGACACGACTAAACGACTACACGATCTGTGACTAAGCTTGAAGTTTAGAATGTAGGACATTAAAATAAGTTGTGAAAATGGAAGATATGGGAAAATAAGTTTTGTTTTTCAAAAATATTACTATGCTAACCTACATTTTTCCTCCCTCCCCCTATATGTGTTGGTCACAGTGAATGGAGGCTGGTCTTCATGGACAGAGTGGTCCAGCTGCAATGTACGCTGCGGTAGAGGATGGCAGAAGAGGTCGCGGACATGTACAAATCCTGCTCCTCTCAATGGAGGTGCTTTCTGTGAAGGAATGTCTGTGCAGAAAATTACCTGTACTTCGTTGTGTCCTGGTGAGAGACTTGTTATTGTTGACATATCCATGGGGTCAAACTGTGCCCCTCAGCCTTTTGTAATATGTGAGCATGATAGGAGTTGTGTTTTCCTGGCTCGGGCAGAATTCTCGTAGCCACTTTTCCCTAGGAGCCTCCCCAAGCAACGGTGTATGCAACATCAGGTGCAGTGAAGGCTGGACAGGGGCCAGCTTCTCTGAAATGCAGAGCACTGCATCAGAGTAGAGTGAAGACAAAATGACTCTAACTCTTTTTGCATAAAATGGGTACAGAGTTTTCATCCTCATCTCTTTTAAGACCCATAGTTGAAACCAACTGCAGGTGTCCAATGCCACCTTTTGCTTTGCTTCCGTTAAAAATAAAACCTTCAACCTTCCCTGCCCATCCTCCCAATGCCCCCCAAATTATACCAGTCAGGGCATGAAGCATGGCTGAATATATTTATTTCCCAATTAAATATGAATCCCTCATAATGTTCCCCATCCATCTTCAGCATATCTATGCAGTGACCTTGGCTGGTCTTTGACTGTAATAAAGTTTTATCCTATCCTATCCAGTGACCTGCAATACTCAGGGACATGATGGGTGGAGAAATGTAACTATACTTTTATCTGGAGGAACGGTATAAGAGAGTGATTCTCCTTTGTGGTCTCTGTGAATGCACACCAATGGGTTAATCTGCGCCTGAGCAGAGCAGCTTCAGAATCTTCCAGAGTTCAAGCACCTGGTGCCGGGACCTCCAACACGCTGAGTATAACTCCACCCCCAGCACCGAGTGTCTCAGTTCTGTGGAACTGTCCACCACTGCATAGCATGGGAAATGGCATACGTGACGGATAGCAGGGAGGAAGGGCGGGGAGTGTGAATTCACAGATGACCACTCGAGGAACCAGAGTTGCAGGTAGGTAACTTCTTTTTCTTAAGTTTTTCTTTACCATGGACCCCCTTTAAATAACGTTTGTTGCTGTGGACTACCAAGACTTTACTCAAGACTTAAAACTGTAAAGTGTATCAAATAAATATTTATGTGATGTTTCTTGTGAAGGAAAGGAAGAAATAAGTTAATATGTTAATGCACACACTCCTATTATAATAATTTTACTGGAATGATTCCATACAAATTTAAAACAACAACAACAATAATAATTGCACAAACAGATTACAAAATTAGATATGATAGAGTAGCAAAATTAGTGTGCTGGTCATTATGCAAATATATATATATAATTTGCCAGCTTCCAAAAACCCATGGGAACATCAGATGGAGAAGGTGTCAGAAAATGAGGAAGTCAAGATCTTGTGGGATTTCCAGATTCAAACTAATAAGACAGTTTGAACATAACACACCAAACATAGTAGCAATGGAATGAAAAAATGTCTGGATCATTTACATTGCAATTCCAGGGGATGCCAGAGTTGAAAATAAAGAATTGGAGAAACTAACAAAGTACAGAGACCTGGCAATTGAAACATCTCGCTTGTGGATAAAACACACTTCAGTGGTCCCCATAGTCATTGTGGCTTTGGGAACAATATCAAGAAACTTCACACAATATTATAAGCTGTTGCAGATCTCAGAAATAACACCATCAGAGCTGAAAAAAACTGGGAATATTAGGAATAGCATACTTGCTGTGCTGATATTTAACAGATACTTAGGTTTTTTGGTTAAAACTTGTAATAACAACAACAGCAACAATAACAGCTGCTATTATTATTATTTAAAAGCACTAGACACAGTCAAAATTATAAAAACATTGACTGGTATTATATAACAGATACAAGTTTAACCAAAAACCTAATGGAATTTCTTGATATTGTTCCCAAAGCCCCAATGAACCACTGAAGTGTGTTTCTTCCAGAGTCATTTGTTCCTTTTGAAACTCTCTCTCTCTTGCTTTTCAACAGCAGCAGATTTTGTAATTCAAACCAATTTCTGCTAGACCAAGATGAACAGTCTGGTAACTCTCATGGCTCGAAAGGCTTTTCCAAAACTATCAAATAGCCGACATCTCTATCTCTTTCTTTTTTTATCCTAGTACTGTTTGTATTTTGTAATAATTTTGATCTAAAGTTCATACTTAATTTTGGAACTAACTCCATCAGGAATCCTGCTCTACCATAGATGTCTATTAAGGCATTAGCCACTGTACTAGATTCTATGTTACTATCTACAGCTCTGTCTAAATCAGGCTTTGACCATCCTGATACTTTTATATCTGTAAGTGATGTGTTGTATTAATCTTTTCTCTCAACATTCTCCACTGAAGTTTCTCTTTTATCTCTTTTCTCTAGCTCATCAGCATAGATTTTACATTTAAATGGTATCATCCTAAACATAAAATTAAATTTAGGTAATATTTTCATTTTGCACAATGCAATTCTACCAAACCAAGATAACTTCAATCTTTGGTATTTTTACAATTTACCTTTTACTTCTTTCTTTATTCTTCCCATATTTATTTTCTTTAAATCTTGTATTCTTTTTCTAAAATCTGTACCCAGATACCTAATACACTCTGTCTCCTAAAATTTAGCTTCATTTTCCCCCTGTTTTTTCTCTGGATTGATTATAAAAGATCATTTCAAATTTAATCCACTTAATCCCCCAAAATCCTTGAAATGCTTTTGTATACCGTCTGTAACTTTTACTGGGTTTTCTGTCATTAACAAAATCTCATCCGGAAATAGAATTACTTTAGTTTTTGTTGAAATCTAATCTAATTTCATCTGTTTTTATTGCATTCACCAATAATTCCATTATTAATGTAAACAATATCAGGGATAGGGGGAATCCCTGCCTTGTTCCCTGATTTAGGTTTATCATTTCCATAATGCAATCATTTACCATAACTATTGCTTTATTACCAAAGTAGAATTGTAAAACTTTATTAAATTCTGTTCCAAACCCCATTTCTTTTATCAATAACTTCAATGTTGACCATTCCACACAGTCAAAGGCTTTGAATATATCTAATGCTAATATGCCGGCTTTTAATGTATTTTTCTCTATGTAATAACTTATATTCATAGCTCTCTTAACCAGATGCAACATTTGTTTATCACCTATAAAGTCACACTGATCAGTTTTCACATATTTATAAATACATTCATTTATCTTGCCAACACTGCTGTAAGTAACTTTGCATCCTGATTTATTAATGATATTGGTCTATAGAAACTTGAGTCTGTAGCATCCTTATTTTGTTTCAGTATTAGTATTATCATAAATTGTTTCCAAGGAGGTGGAACTTCTACTTCATCTAATATTTTATTAAATAATACTTTCAGCTTTGGAACCAACAGGTTTTTAAAAAGCTTTATGATATTCTACACTTAAACCAGCTATCACTGGAGTTTACTCATTTTCAATTTATTACTTCTATATTTCACCTTCTGTAAGTTGTAATTCTAATTTTTTTAAAAAATCCTCAGTTTTTCTTTCATTTTCTTTCCTATCATAAAAATATGAGGATTGATGTGAATGTCCTTAAAAATGAAATGGCAATAGAGAAAATGGAAAAAGAATTGAAAGAAGTATGACAAAGTAGTGAAGGTAGAATAAAAATATGATAGGAGCAATAAAAATGAGGAAAGGAAATTATTACATAATTGCATAGATTTTCTCATTTCTTATTGCTCCTATCATATTTGTTGCTTTTCTTGAACACATAACTTTAGCCAATATTCTAGAATTGCTATTTTCATAGTAAGCCCCTTTTAACTTTTAACTATCTTAAATCCATCTAATTGATCTATCTCTACCTTCACTACTTCTTTCCTTTTTGCCATAATTTCCATCAAATCATTTCTTTCTCTGTACTTTAAATGTCCTCTCTCTTTCTTTAATTTCTTCCTCTAGCTCCTTCACTTTTTGCTCTTTTGACTTTTTCAAATTATATGAATATTTTATACTTAATCCTCATCCTACTGTTTTTAAAGTATCCCACACTATATTTATACTACTGCCATTATTTCTATAAATTTGCCATACTTCTTCCAATTCTTTTTCCATTTTCTCTATTGCCATTTTATTTTTAAGGACATTCACATCAATTCTCCATTGTTTTGCTTCTTTATAATCACACATTCCTTTTTCTATCATTACCACTGCATGATCTGGAACTTTTATCCTTTTTATATCTGACTTAGCAAATTTATTTAATATATCTGAAGTTACAAATTTCCTAACCCTATTCTAGGATAGCTTTTATATCTATTTGAATAAAATGTATAACTCTTTCCCCTATTATGTAATTCCCATAATAGATTCCCTAAGACTCATTCTTTTTATCTTTTTATTTAGTTCAGTACAGTGGTGCCTCGACTTACGACCATAATATGTTCCAGAAGATGGGTGTAAGTCGAAATGGTCGTAAGTCGAAGCACCATTTCCCATAGGAATGCATTGAAATCCCATTCATCCATTCTCATATACACACATACATTCCTTTTCAAACCTACTTTTAATAAAACGTGTAGTTTACTACTACAACTATTTTTTGCTATGTACTAATATATCATTACATAACCTTATGCATCACTACCTGTTATCCTTTAACATCATCTTATATTATACTCTTCTTCCCCTGCCATCTTCTATTTCTTCTTTTTTCTTGCTCCCAAATTTTTCTCTTCTTTTGGTTTAACTGGACTCCTTCTTGACCCATCTTGTTGTCCCTCTTCCACCAGATCTCTTCTCCCCTCAATCTCCATACTGGATTGTTTCCCTTGATTCATTTCCATTTTCTTCATCTCCTGTTTGAACTGTTCCTTATTTATAATCCCCAATTATTTCATCATTTTCAGTGTTTTTTCACAGGGCTCCACTCTGTAATATATTACTTGATACTTTATTTTCATGATCATTGGATATCTCCAACTGTACTGCATGTTCTCCCTCTTCAGAATTATACAGATTTATCTCATGCTTCTTCTGTATTCTATCGTAACTTTAGATAAATCTGGATAGTCTTGAATTATATCCTCTTTAAATTTAA